GGACTTCAACTCCCAGAATTCCTGAGCCAGCATGGGGGAAACTTTGGCCCTCTTGATGACTTGTGGACTTCAACTCCCAGAATTCCTGAGCCAGCATGGGGGAATTATGGCCCCCTCATGACTCGTGGACTTCAACTCCCAGAATTCCTGAGCCAGCATGGGGGAAACTTTGGCCCTCTTGATGACTTGTGGACTTCAATTCCCAGAATTCCTGAGCCAGCGTGGGGGAACTATGGCCCCTTCATGACTCGTGGACTTCAACTCCCAGAATTCCTGAGCCAGCACAGCTCAGCTTGGAAACCTCTCCCTTTCCCCTCAGCATGGCTGGCTGAGGAATTCTGGGAGTTGAAGTCCACAAGTCATAAAAGAGCCAAGGTGGCCTACCCCTGACCATGGTCATATGATCCAAATCCAGAGAGAGTATAGGCCAGGGGTAGGCCACCTTGGCTGTTTTATGACTCGTGGACTTCAACTCCCAGAATTCCTCAGCCAGCATGGCTCAGCTTGGAAACCTCTCCCTTTCCCCTCAGCATGGCTGGCTCAGGAATTCTGGGAGTTGAAGTCCACGAGTCATAAAAGAGCCAAGGTGGCCTACCCCTGAGCTAGGTGGAACCAGAAAGGGGTTCCCAAATTTTTGTGGGTTTTGGGGTGTGTGTGTGAGGGATTATTGAAACCTCACACTCTGTAGAGTAGCTAATTTGGGCCAAGTCGAGGGTTTTTTTCTGGATTAAACCTGCCTTGGTTTGACATGTGGCATCAACCACCCTGATATTGGAGGCCTCAAAGCAGAGTTTCTCAACCTTGGCCACTTTTAAGCTATGTGGACTTCAACTCCCAGAATTCCCCAGTCAGCTTGGTCTCAAGCGTCGGGTCGTCCTTTTAATATTGTCCAATTAGCATTGTGGATGAAGGAAGGTTGAATTCAGGTAGCTCTCTCCTGCAATGTTTCTCAACCTTGACAACTTTTAAGACGTGTGGACTTCAATTCCTCATGGCTGGGGAATTCTGGGAGTTGAAGTCCACACATCTTTAAGGTGCCATGGTTGAGAAACATCGCATTAGAGAGCTATCTAACCTTCCTTTATCCACCATCTGTTTTCTCTATCCTGCCCCTTGTCTAGTTTTTGGTTGCGTCTTCTCTCTTTCTCCCATCTCCTCCACTTCTACTCCTGTAGTAATTTTACCACGTAGCTTGGGGGGGCGGGGGGAAGCAGGTAGGAGAATAATTGAGTTGTGCATTTGGGGTGAGAAGAGAACTTATTTTGCTGATTTACTAAGGGAACCCGCCATCTCCAACGGAGGAGTTAAATAGAACGTTAAAAGAAATAGCTTTTTAGATCTGAAACGGGAGTGACTCACTGCTCTGTTTTTAACAGCCCATTTTATAGCCGAAGTAGACGGTGGGTTTTGCTGCCTGGAATGAGAATGGAGGGCAGAATTCCTCTTTATACCGTAAATTAATTTCTTAGGTCTTTAAAGTCGCCTAAGACCTCCCTGGATTTCTTGATGGAACCGGACTGTTCGGTCAGGCGTGACTGGTTCCATTTTAATTTTATCCTGAATAAAATTAACAGACAGAACTAATAAGAAGAGGATTTCATGGAAGGGTCTTGTGGCACGCTTGTTCTTTAATTATAGGACTGCCAGGAGGAAAAAATAATATTCCTATTGGAATCAAATCAGCTACCCGAGTTTAAATCATGGGTTTAAAGGTTTTAACTCCACAGGCTAACTTAAACACTTCTCTTTGTTCCCACACACCCCCTTAGAAATTGTGAATTTCACAGAGTTGTTTTGTTGGCTGATGCCTAAATCCAATAAATTAATTGGCTAAGTGTATTTGAAAACCTTAGCATTAAAGGCATGTTAGTGGCACCCATCTCAACTCCAGTTGTCCTCAAGACAATTTTTCAGATAGAGTCTCTTTAGCTCCCCTTGGTTAAATCTGGCCCTGATGATATCCACCTTCAGAGAAGGTAGCTCATCAAAGGTTTTAAACCACAAATCAAGGTTTAGCTTTCCATGGTTAAATCTGACCCTGATGATATCCACCTTCAGAAAAGGTAGCTCATCAAAGGTTTTAAACCACAAATCAAAGTTTAGCTTCCCATGGTTAAATCTGACCCTGATGATATCCACCTTCAGAGAAGATAGCTCATCAAAGGTTTTAAACCACAAATCAAAGTTTAGCTTCCCATGGTTAAATCTGACCCTGATGATATCCACCTTCAGAAAAGGTAGCTCATCAAAGGTTTTAAACCACAAATCAAAGTTTAGCTTCCCATGGTTAAATCTGACCCTGATGATATCCACCTTCAGAGAAGGTAGCTCATCAAAGGTTTTAAACCACAAATCAAAGTTTAGCTTCCCATGGTTAAATCTGGCCCTGATGATATCCACCTTCAGAGAAGGTAGCTCGTCAAAGGATTAAACCACAAATCAAGGTTTAGCTTCCCATGGTTAAATCTGGCCCGGACAACATCCATCGTCAGAGAAGATAGCTTATCAAAGGATTAAACCACAAATCAAGGTTTCTTCTACTCCTTTTGAGTCCTGTTGATGAAACCTGGAATAGCCTTTTCTGCAAGGAAGGGGTTTCCAGTATAGAGGTTGATTGTCCAAGAAGATCACTGGCATAGGAGCAAAATGTTTATTACACACCGCAGTTCCTTCACAAACAAACAAGTGTGTCATTAGTCTTCCGGCATCTTGTGATAGGAACACCGACTCTTCATGAAACGCACAATTTCCTGCCCCTTCTGGCCGCCGAATCGGAGAGCGCAAATCAGGAGCAGCCCTCCAGTTCATAGGTAGAACGTCTCAGCCCCTCTGGTGGCCAGGCCTATACAGGCAGTCCTCAATTTACGACCACAGTTGACCCCGAAATTTCTGTTGCTAAGCGAGACAGTCCTTAAAAGTGACTTTTGCCGCCATTTTGCGACCTTCCTTTCCAACGTTGTTAAGAGAATCACAACTAATGACACAATTGTTAAAGGAATCCGCCGGTCAGACGGTCGCAAAAGGGGATCACACCACCCCGGGACTCTGCAGCCGTCGTAAATGTGAATCAGTTGCCGAATGCCTGAATTTTGATCACGTGACCCTGGGGATGCTGCAAAGGTCGTAAGTGTGAAAAACGGTCATAAGTCTCTCTCTTCAATGCCGCTGTAACTTTAGACAGTCGCTAAATGATCTGTTATAAGTCGAGGACTACCTGTGGATCTGGAGCAATGGCCTTGAAGACTTTCAGTCCATTTTTTTGTTATTGTCACAGACCAGCCCGGAAGATTTTAACAGACGTTAACAGAAATATAGAGTTGGGAAGGGACCCTAGAGGTCTTCTAGTCCAACCCCCTGCTCAGGCAGGAAGCCCTGTGCTATTTCAGACAGAGTTGTGTGCAAAGAAAGACGTCCCACCTGGTACCTGCCAGGACTTTGAAGTTCACCCGCCTCTTGTAGGATCAAAGCCAACAAAGCAGAGCAGATGTTGTTAAATCCCCAAAAAAGCAGAACGCCGTCCGTCCCTAACAGAAACATTAGCGCTTACGATCCCGGCAAGCCTGGAGGAATTCCTCTGAGGAAAGTTCGTGGTTTAAAAACCATGTTCTTTTTCTCGTCTCGAAGTCACGCCCGTTATAAATAACGAGACTTACCTGGTTTTTCTTCTGTTCCTCGGCAAGCGGCATTTTGTCCGTGACAATCTGGCATTATCTGCTCTTATTCCGGATCGCCGATAAGTCATAAAGCACTAATCAGGCGAATTTCACGTCAGATTTAGAAAATAAAATTCAAATAGTTGTTTTTCTTCCTTCCTTCTCTTTCTTTTTAGCGGATTTGCGCTTCGGGACTAATGACTTGGAGTGCGGACTAGCACCCGGCATGAGAAAGCAATCTTGTCATATTTTAATAGGTTTCATACTTTGCGGCCCTAAACACGATGATAACCTTGGCTTTATATATAACAGCCCCAAATTACGTGAAATGTGCAGGTGATGAAGCCGAGCTCGGCCCTGCCAATAAGGCTAAAGTGGAATTGCACACCAATCAGGCGGGAGAGATCTCATTTCATTTACAGGATCTCACAAGCCGGGGGGGTGCTAATGCAAAAAAAAAAAAAAAAAAAAGTATATGGCACAAAAGTGTCAAGGCCATTGTGTTGTGCTAAGGACTCACTTTTCTCCTGCCAATTAAGTTCCTGGCCTAAAACTGTCACACACACACACACACACACACACACACACACACACACCGGAGTGGCAGATTGCGTCTGGTTAATCAGGTTGGTTTTTAAATGCTTCGTATCGGGAAAGGCATTTTAGGAGGAACCCATGGGCAGCAGGAAGCTGATAAATTTATTTATTTCATTACTTATTGAATTTGTTTGCTGCTGCTCATAGGCAACACCCCGGAAGACGAGCTCGGGATCCAAAAAGATCTGGTCAGACTCGAACAATGGGCCCTATCCAACAAAATGAGTTTCAGTGTGGAGAAAAGCAAAGTCTTACACTTAGGTGGAAAAAAAGCAAAGGCACAAATACAGGTTGGGTGACACCTGGCTCAAAAACAGCAACTGTAAGAGGGACCTTGGAGTCCTAGTGGACGATCGCTTAAATATGAGCCAGCCGTGTGCGGCAGCAGCCAAAAAAGCTAATACAATCCTGGGTTGTATAAACAGAGGCGTAGAATCAAGATCACGCGAAGTACTAGTACCGCTTTATAAAGCCTGAGTAAGACCACACCTGGAATACTGCAGCCAATTTTGGTCACCATATCACAAAAAAGATGTTGAGAGTTTGGAAAAAAAATTCAGAGAAGAGCAACTAAGGCAATTAAAGGCCTGGAGACCAAAACCTACGAAGAATGGTTCCAAGAATTGGGTATGGCCAGTCTAGAGAAAAGAAGGACTGGGGGGGTGACATGATAGCAGTCTTCCAGTATTTGAGGGGCTGCCCCAACTTATTTTCCAAAGCACCAGAGGGCAGGACAAGAAGGAATTAATTAAGCCCACCTGGTTATTTTTGCCAACAAAATTGGCCGAGCCAACCTGTGTATGAAATAATAGTTTGTGTTCCTTTTCCCTTCCTTGTTCTGCTTTGCAGAGGCGCAGTGAAGCGAATCGTCAAAGCGATGAATCGGATCGACCAGCGGAAGCACGAAAAATTTGCAAACCAGTTCAACTACGCGCTGAATTGAACGTCGCCAAGAGCAAGACTTAAGAAAGGAAAAAAAACTCCATGGCAGTTTTGAGCACCTTATACAATATCCGTGTTTTTCAAACTGGGCCACTTTTAAGAGGGGTGGACTTCAACTCCCAGAATTCCCCAGCCAGCATGGCTGGCTGGGGAATTCTGGGAGTTGAAGTCCACCCCTCTTAAAAGTGGCCCAGTTTGAAAAACACGGCACTGCAGGTACAAAAATTGGAGGGGCTTCAATTGAGTGGCTGTCGCCCCCTTTTTAAAACTTCTTCCATGGACACTGCTGTACAATTCCGTAATCAAGGATTGATTGAAACAATCTCATTCATATAGAGGTATATATTTATATTAATCTAATGTATTTAATAACAAGCATTGGGCTTTCTTAAGAAAATACGAAGCTCATCCTGGCACGTTGAAAGGCTTAGGAATTGTATATATTCCGGAAATATATTGTAATGTTTATACTGTTTGTGAATAAATCTTATAACTTAAATATGCTCAAAATCTGATGCAGTACAAACTGATTCTAGTGTGTAAGCTCAGGAGATCCTAGAAAAGATTACAATTCTGGTTTCTACATGCAAGTGATTAAATGTTAAATGTTTTCCATGAAATATATCAGAAAGTCGGTATTATTGTACCGTATTTTCCCCAAAATAAGACCTAACTGGAAAATAAGCCCTAACATGATTTTTCAGGATGCTCATAATATAAGCTCCACCCCAAAAATAAGGCCAAGATTGTCAGCCAGCCGGATGCATTTAGTACCGTATTTCCCCAAATATAAGACCTAACCAGAAAATAAGCCTTAATGCCTCTTTTGGAGCAATAATTAATATATAAGACCTAGTCTTATTTTCAGGGAAATACAGTACTTATAAGGACAATATGTTTATTCTTTTCTTGCACACATGAATCCTTGTATGGTTATGTATCTATGCAGATTCTTGCAGTCTATCCTGGGAATGTATTAAATATGTATTTTAGACATTTATACAGCTGCCCATCTTTTAAACCAACTCTGGGTGAGTGAGGATTTTTAGAATTTTTTTTTCTAATAGAAAAATTAAAAGATACATAAAATCATTTTAAAACTAGGAAACTCGACCGATGATAAGATTAAAAGCAATAAAAAACCTGGCCCCAATCAGTTCTAATGTGTGACTTTCTAATTTTCTCTTTAAATGTAAACCTAATAAACTTTAAAAATCTAATCTTTAAAATCTAATAAGATTTTCAAGTCTTATAGAAGACTAGGAGGGGGGAGGCCTGCAAAACTTCAGGGTGTTGGATAGGGCAGGGACTGCCATGGAAAAGTATAAATAAAACGTTGGATCATAAAGAATTAAGATTCCTTGTTGGCATTGCCGTTAATTGCTGTCTCTTACAGTAGGTACACGGTAAGTCTAACTGGTCAATTGATTGTAGATTTTCATATTTGTAATATTTTTAAACGCTATATAGTAAATTAGTAAGTAGAGATTGGAGGTATGTCTAGTTTCAGGGGTAGGCAACCTTGGCTCTTTTATGACTCGTGGACTTCAACTCCCAGAATTCCTGAGCCAGCCAAGCTTATATTATTATTATTATTATTATTATTATTATTATTATTATTATTATTATTATTATTATTATTATTATTATTATTATTATTATTATTATTATTATTATTATTATTATTATTATTATTATTATTATTATTATTAAGAAATTTAATGCAAGAATACATAAAAGAGTAAGAGATATAGAAAGGGATCTACAGGAGTATTTTGCCATTAAAATTAAGAGCTTTTGGGACAAATTAAATAAACCAAAGCTGAAAACCAGAGGAGGACAATTGGACATCCAATCTTGTAGGTGTCATTAAGAGCATTAAGAGAGAAAAGCTGAATTAATTCTTGACTTCTGTCTTCCCTGGAAAAGAAGTAATGCAGAGAATCAGGCCTGAATTTGTATTTTTTAGGAAGAGAGTTTCCAAAAAACTAAATCATATCACGTGCAATGAAAGCTTTGGGTTTATTGAGAAATCAGAAACAAACAGTTCACTGTTTGTCCATCTGAACTCCACTGCGATATTGATGTTTTTATGTGCCATATCCTTAAGAACGGCTTCTCCGGCAGACGTCTAATTCCAGAGGATTGTAAAGTAGTCTGTGTAAATGATAAATAATAAAAGGAAACCATATAAGTAAATCCAATTAGGCTGATAAAGCTCCTAGTAAATAGGCTGCAAAGATAAATACTGTATTTATTGTTTACTATTAAAGATAAATATTATATTTACCTGAGAGGAAGACAGGTTTTGTCCCCCGTATAATTTATCTTTAAGCTGGATAAATCAACTGACTTCACCAACAATATGGTAACAGAGGTGTATGATCATCTACTGGTTTGGAAGTGGGAGATGGGCTTACATTCACCTGGTAGACAGAAAACCAAAAGGACAAATGTTGCTAGAGAGGAACCAACGTGGAATTAGGGAAAGATGAGTTGAAGATAAATCTGGGGATAATCTGCCTCCTCCCAGGTGCAGACACAAACAGAGTTGGAAGTATGATAATTCTACAAAAAATGGGAGATGGTCTGGATTGGTGAGGAAGGAGGAAGGGGAGGAGGAGGAGGAGGA